GAAAATATTTTAATTTTAATGTTAGTCAAACTCCTAAGATTTAGGAATTTTTAATTTTATTTCACTTCTAAAGGGAAGGGATAGTATAGTAAAATTGACAAAAAACAGACTTGATAACAAATAAATTTCCTTGACGGACTTAAGTCCAAACAAATCCATATAGGGGGACCGGCCTCCAAATTTTCCTTAAAACTTTGATATAAACTGATAACCCTGAGTGACAATGAAATGGCACATAGGGTGAATTGGGAATGGATATGGAAGTTAGAAGTTCCACAGAAGCTTAGATGCTTCATGTGGCTGGTACAAAGTGATAGACTTCTCACCAACAATCTCAAGAGGCTCTAGAAACATGACCAGAGAAGCAACCTATGAAAGATGTAATAACCACACTGAGACAACATTACATCTGTTGAGGGATAGCACTAAAGCCCAGACACTGTGGAGCTCCTTCTTCCTCAACAGACAAGAAAGGCTGGCAGACCAATCAACTGATCTCCATGGATGGCTGAGTAGAAACCGCAAGGACAAGAAGAATTCCTTATGGAAAGGAGTGGACTGGCCAATTATCTTTACCTCCATTTTATGGCACATTTGGAAGGATAGAAATAAAGAATGCATTGAAAAAGCAAAGACCCATACTCAGATTTTGGTTGGGAATGCGTGGCAACCAGCCACTCAAACAGCCACTGCATTCCATGGAAATCAAATTTACATGCTAAGTAAACCAGCTAAACTAATTGGGTGGTGCTTCCTACCTGCGGGCTGGCTGAAGTTGAATACCGATGGCTGCTCCAAAGGAAATCCAAGACTAGCTGCTGTAGGAGGACTCATCAGGAATGATCAAGAGCTATGAAGAGTTGGTTTCTTTGGATGGATTAGTGAGCCATCCACTACACAAGCTGAACTGTGGGCTATACTCAAAGACTTCAACTCATCCTGGAAAGGAATATTGAGAAGGTGGTATTAGAGACAAACCCCTTGGATGCACTCAGGCTGCTTATTACCAACTACACAGAGGACACCCACTCAGACAGAGCACTCATTGTCAACTGCAAGAACCTACTAACCTTCCTCAAAGTCTCCATCATACACACCCTCGGGGAAGGAAACAGAGATGCAGATAAACTCATAATTTTGGGATTGCTACAGCAATACCCTTTTGTAACATTGATTTCTCCCCCTAGCTCATTAGGGGAATCTCTAAACAATGATTAAGCTAGCATTTCTTTTGTGAAAGGGTCTACCAGACCCCTCTTAACTTTCCAATGTACCCAAAAAAAAATGGTTAAGTGATTAAGCTTTTTTTTTTTTCTATTTCTATTTTTGAGTAAGAAAATAACGAGATCATCAAAAATAAAAGAAATATAGAGAAGAAGAAAAGTGAGTACCAAAGACAGGACCCACAAATCCATAATATTCTACAGATAATTAACTAAAAAAGGACCCGTGAACTTTATTAATCACACCTTGAACTCTTACAGAATGGATGTGGGACAAAGCCCACATCAAATTTAGGGTACTTATTTCAAGCTGGAAAATAAGACACAGTTCCATGGTTAGAAACTTTACACGCCCGGTAACAAGAAAATGAGATCCACCGCCCAAGCGGGTCAAAAGGCACTCCTTGGACACGAGCAGGAGGTCCAGGAAGCATTCTGCACTAATGCAGGAAGGTGTTGGACGTTCCTTCAACTTAAATGGGGCTGTCTTTTGTGTGTGTGTGTGTGTGAGAGGGGGGGAGATGTACTATGTCTTGTTCTGGGTAAATTTCAAGAGTCCTATGTCAACCTGTCTTATAAACTAGTCATTGGTGGAAAGAAACAACAAAAAACTTATCTAAAAATTACAAGATTCATATAGTCAACCCGAAACAATAATCAAGATAAAGGTTTTGTCAAATTGATTTAGAATAGAGCTAAAATTACTCGGACCAAAAGAAACTCTTAAACAAGTCTGGGACATGAGTAGTAGCAACCATTGCAGTAGAAAACTGTCAGTAACAATTCAGGGAAAGAAAAAGCCTATGTATTTGCCGGATAAGTAATCGAATAAATTGACTAACATCATATACAAGATCAAGTCTCATTTAGATACTACATCTAGTCTCATTCATTAATGGAAGCTTTACAAAATTGGACAACTAACAAGCATTCAGATACTATAAGTGCATTAGCCTGCTCAATTCTGTCAAGTACAGAGCGCAATCGAATACATCTACACTGGTCAATTTCTCATAAGATTTACATTCACAAATTAAGAAAAATGGAGACAACAAAAAGAAAAAGGAAGGCAGTTACATAGAGTCCATAGCGAAGCTTGGCAATTAGGACTGCTATTACCATTTTTTGTTAAAAAAACATACAATTTCCAGTGAGGCATAGGCTAGCAAGTACTCCAGGAAATCTCAAAGTCAAAACCCTGGGAGATCTAAAAATGAAACTTAATGCACACAAGTTATAGACTCCCACGTAATTTACACTAGAAGCCATGCACACACAGTTATCCGCATGAAGAGAGAAATAGGTGGGTCAGGTTCATAAGTTTGATGAACACATGAAATAGAGCGAGTAAATGCAATTGAAGTTGGAGGTGGAAAAACTTAACAAAGAAAGTCGGAATATGTCAGATAGATACGGGCTAAGATTTTGGAAAAGACATGGCAACATAAGAATTGCACAAGAAGAGCACAACACTGAAAATGGTTTTGCGCCGTCAACAACAAACAGCTTAAAAAGTCTTCCATGAAAAGAGTTATGAACAAGATGACTGGGAACTAAGCATAATAAGGTCAAACACGACCCATTTCAAGGATACTGGGGTTCGAAATTTCCCAAAATTTTGACATCAAAAAACTCAATAATGAAGCAATTAGCACCCAAAGGTATTCGATCTAATAGATTTTTCTAATTAATCTTTAAATCCAGTAACTTAATAGACACAAAAACCACATAATTCAGTTAAGAAAATCACAGAAATTCTCTAAGAAGATTGAAACATATTCATTGCAATAACATAAAACTAACAGACAAAATTCGAGTAAACAAGAAAAAACACAGTAAGTGCTCAGTGAACAATTCAAAACCCTTATTTTCCCAACTACACCACAATATGAACAGATGATCTTTCAAACCCTGAATTGATATCAGAAATTACCCGTACCCAGATTGGAGAATCACTCGGATTCATCAGAAATCACCGCCAACTGTTGGGCCGACTCGAGGCGCTCGAGGGCTTTCTGGTGGGCCCAGGTCTCGATGGTGAGATCGGGCTTGGCGTTGAGCCCAACGCCGAGGATGACGATGGTGAGGAAGCTCGTGATGTAGCATGGCAGCTCCCAGTCCTCCCACTTCCTCGACTGACCTGGTGGTGGCAGCGTTCTGTTCAAAAAATAGCCGTTGGGGCGTTTTTGGTGGCCGGGAGTGGCCCACCGGCTTGGGCCATCTCCGCCACCTCCTCGGATGCGAAGGGTGGCGCTCAGCCTTGTTCGGAGCATGCCTGCGGCGCTCGCGAAGGTCTTTGGGGACGGCATTTTTGGAGGAGAGAGAAAGAGAGACTCCGAGAGAGCTTAACTTGGATCTGGCTTTGCCAAGGGTGGTCTTGCGTGAGTGTCACTGACAATTACGACGTCGTTGTAAGTTGCCAATTGAGGATTTCCCTTTCGTACAATTTTATTTCCAAAACGCCGTCGTAGTATGTGATTTTTGTCATGACACCCTGGCAAAATCTGTCAATTTTTTATTTTTTTTTTGTTATCTTTACAATAGACTGTTAATCGTGTCGGGTGAAATAAATTCATGTCGAATCTTATTGAATTTGTGTCAAAAAATATTTCATTTATACTTAATTCATTGATGAATTCATATTTAACGAGTCGTATTATATCAAATTCTATAAATTATGTATAACCAATATATAAACAAATCGTATTTATGTATTATTTTGATTAATTTCATTCATACCCGATTCGTATATTAATCATATCATGTTGAGTTTACTTGTTTACGAAATAGTTGACTTAATAAAAAAAACACAATGCCTCATTTGGTAACATTAGTTTAAGTATTGTTTATAAAATAAAAATAAAAACCAAATTGTGTCTAATTACTATGTTACGAAAGCGATCAATATGTAGAGTGCAACCCTAATACTCGAACAAAAAACAGAGACTTGAAAAGAAAAAAGAAAACAATCTATTTAAAAGTTTTAAAAAAAAAAATGTTATCAAACTGTAGAGTACTAAAATTTTGAATTTTGGGGTGGACTAAAAGTAGAATTCTATTGCTAAATAGCCTCTAGTTAAAATTTCTAAGTGAGGCTGAAAATTCTGCACTAAATCCTGCTTTCCCTTTCATTTAACTACATTCATCTACAAGCATGCCCCAATTCCATACAACCATAGCTCTGCAGGGAGTGCTCATGAGTTTTCCAGCTTTGTTATCTCAAAGTATATTTGAGAATTCAAGTCCAGAACTCTCAATTATCCGAGGCTACCCATACAAGCACCGAAGGGCGTTACCACAACAAAAAAAAATGTCTTGGCAGCTTAAGGGAAAATTTATTAGACTAGTCTCACTCATATGGCAGGGAAACTAACTTCCGAGAGAGCTGCTTTCGCCCGGGTAATTACCTAAGGAGATAGAGCCGATGCAAAAGTAGCCCTTTACGTGAGGGAACACCAAACAGACTGACCTCTATGAATCATTCCCTTCCCAGTATCCTTAGGCTGGCAAACACACTTAAACAGGATCGTCTCTATAGGTTCATACCTCTGTATCCTCGAATTCTAAATTATCCTTACACCAGGTTCCCCATCTTATAAACAAGAGACTGTCATTGGTTCCCGGTCTTCTGGCAAGTATAGTGGATCTTCACCTGGAGAAATGTACTAGGTGCAGGCAGTTATTATTTTTTCGTAAAAGGCTAATCAAATCACAATACTGTTTAATAACACGCCGTTGTGAATAATCTCAATGTAGCACACCCATCTTTTGGTTAGCTCATCATATCGTTTATAAATGGAAGTACAAAACTACATCCATGAGCATAAACAAAAAACAATGCACATTGTTTTATACCTTGGAGATACTTCTCTTCTAAATATGTGACACTTGGCCAAATTATAGTGACCACAATGATGCCAAGTTTTTCACGAAGAACAGACTTTCCTTCAGGAGTACCAAACCCCAAAGGCCAAACCTGATCTTTCAATGTTGTCCTTAGAGGAGAATCTTTTTCTAATCTCATTAACATTGTTACGAGACAAAACTCAAATCAGGACGATGACCAGCTTCCTTGATCCCGACTGATATTTCTCTTACCTTTACAAACACCTCTTCCTTTCATGAATGTGATAGATCACTCTCAGATGCATAGGAGATTTTTTGCATCTTAGAAAATGGCATCCAGAATTACCCCTCAAAGAATCTTCAAAACTCACCAGTAGTCTCCACATGAACAGACACCCCTGATAATATGGTGAAATCGACTTTTGTCCCTTAAAGATACTTCTCTTTCATAAACCATTGAAACAAACTTGGCAAAATTATGACAATCAATACAGATGCGGAGGTTTTTCATGACACGGATAGGCTTTCCTTCAGGAGTATTAATCAACCCGAAAGCTAAAGCAAGTTTTTCACTGTGGCCAAGGAGAATTCTTTCCTTCTGCTCCTCGTCCAAATCATATAAAACACAACTCAAATCAGGGACATAACCAGCTTCCTTGAACCTTGCTGACAAGTCTCTTACCTTTCCAAATACCTCTTCCTTTCTTGGATGTGTTCGATCACTTGCATAAAATGTATGAAGGGTTTGATCAAGCTCAGTCCAGCTCCTTCCTGGCTCCTTTATTACAGCCTTCTCCTTCATCATCTCCCTTATCCTTTGCACATCCTCCCATTTCCCCGCAGCTGCATATAAATTAGAAAGAATCACGTAGTTCCCTGCATTCTCAGGCTCTATTTCTAAAAGCTGAGTACCTACAAATTCCCCAATATCAACATTCAAGTGAACCCTACAAGCACCTAAAAGCGAACCCCAGATGGCCACAGTTGGTTCAAAAGGCATCTGTTTGATAAATTCCAAAGCTTTTTCCACTTGGCCAGCACGACCAAGCAGATCAACAATGCATCCGTAATGCTCAATTGTTGGTTCAACCCCATCAATTCTGCCCATCATCTCATCAAAAATTTCCAGCCCTCTATTCTCCAATCCTCCATGGCTGCAACCAGATAATACAGCCAAAAGAGTGATGCTATCAGGTCTAACTTTATTTTCTTCCTTCATCAACTCGAAAAGTTCAAAGACCTTTCTTCCCTTTCCATGTTTACTGTACCCCACGAGCATTGCATTCCATGAAATAACAGTTCTCTCAGACATGGTATCAAAGATTCTTCTCGAGTAAGTGAGGTTTCCACATTTTGAGTACATATCAATTAGAGAATTCTGAAGAACCACATAGGAGGGTACTTCATACCGAAGAACATAGTTGTGAACTTGCCTGCCATGTTCAAATGCAGCAAGCCCAGACAATGCAGTCAGAACACTGGCATAAGTAACATAATTATAAGTCATTCCTTCCCTCTGCAACCTCCGGAATAGCCCTAATGCCTCTTCATCAAGACCTAGTTGAGCATACCCCGAGATTATGGCAGTGCAAGAAACAACATCCCTTTCTGGCAAGCCTTCAAAAACACCTCGAGATTCATGGATTTTACCAGCTTTGGCATACATGTCAAGGAGTGAGCTACCAACATATATATGTGATTCAAATAGGCACTTTACTATTAGAGAGTGGATTTGGCTTCCATGATCAAACCCAAAAGCGCCCGTGCAAGAGGTAAGCACAGTTGCAAAAGTAAATGTATTTGGTGCGGTACCTGCACGAATTTCATATTATGATCAACACATTGTTCAGAATACAGAAGAAGAAAGTTCTAGTCCTTTTGAGTTACTATCAATACGTACCACTGCAATGGATAGTTGCATGTAAAGTTAGAAATTAAGGACTCTAGCTTGTCCTGCTATAGGAAATAAAATGCTGTTTTTATGAGCATAAAAAATAGGTCCTTTATTCCCACTAGTTCTTAGTTTAAAATAAAACCATTTGGTTCTTTAAATCTGATGAGTTTGCAATGAGGACCCCTTGCATAAAAACTAGTCCCTGAACATATTCAATTTTTTGCTTGTCCAATAACCTATTCTTTCCTATACGAATCAAACCCAACAATTCTCTTGGTCTTGGGACCAATATGTACATATATTCTGAAAATATGGAAATGTCCATCAATAACCACACTTCCAATTGATTCCTTATGTTGTTAAACAACAAAGTTCAGTGATACGCCAGGAAAAAGATAGCCATCTTATCCACAGGCAAATAGTTACCTTTGAATCTCAAACTCAGACAGATTAGAAATCATATCAGCATCTATTTTTCTTCCTCAATGTGATTCAATTTCTATGTTACAAGATTACAATCAATTACCAGTTCATACTAGTTTACTGGTGCAGATATGATTAACCAATGTGGGCTAACTTGGGATCCGCTCGAGGATCTACCAGGTTAGGTAGATATTTGAGGCATTTCCCGACTGGAACCATATGAAACGACACATTACAATTACCAAGTCCAAATGGGAAAATGAAAGTTCATACCAGCACCATGATGCACTAGTGGGACGTGTATTTCCAAAGGATACCTGATCTTAACATCTGTACAAAAAGGTTCAGAGCTTGTGAGTCATACCCTCTCTTAGAATACCCCGAGATCATTGCCGTCCAAGAAACCACATTCCTCTCGGGCATTTCGTCGAGCACACGCCTCGCATCCTCCAAACGCTCACACTTCGTATAGAACACAATCAACCTTGTTCTCAAATACACAGGCGATTGATAATTGGTTTTGATCATGTGGGCATGAACTCTTTGGCCTTCTCTAAAGGCCCTTTTGCTCACGCACTCGTTTAAAATTGTGTCATAGTCTCTGAACCCCATTTCACATCCTTGTAGTGCCATCTCTAACAAGGCATAATTAAGGTTACCGCTAGAGATTAAAGTATTTAAACTTGGTGGGTTTGGCGGGTAGGAAGAGGAGGTTAGTTGGCGGGTATATGAGTGGGTTGAGATGAAGGGAAATACCTGTTTGGAGTGAGAGAAAAAGAAAGTGATTTTCTTGAGCATTTTCAGGTTCCCAAGGTATTGTTAACGAACACTAACCGTCGAGAAATCGCCGGCTTCATATTTCATGTTTTATCATCCATAACCTAGGCTTCAAACTTCATGCCCATTAATCAGAGGAATTATCATCGTCAATATTTTAATTTTGGTGCGAATGACTTTTTATTACTCTATTAAAGAGAAAATAAATGAATATATGTATAAATTGATTCAAACACCGTGACCATTGAACTAAAATAAAAATCTTCGTGGCCAACAAAAATAACATTTTTTAAAAAATAATTTGAACATTTGAACATTTTATACAAAATAATTCTTATTTTCACAACATCGGTCTTTGCTGACCTTCTTTTTTGAACTTGAATTTTTGTGACTCATAGGTACAATAAAAAAGAATAACAAAGACGACCGATCAAAATATAGTCTGATATTCACTATTTCGGGTTCTTGTTGAGTTCAGCCAAATTTTTTAACTTAAGAAGGCATCTTTGTCTCGTTGAACTAAACTATTCCAAATTCAAAAATAATTCTCATATTAACCTTTGTTCGCAAAGTCTTATTTTTTTGCCTTGTAATTCACATATAGAAATTCTTGAATTAACAAAGCAAAAAAATTGGTATGCAAGTTATTTTGTTAAAAAAGTGTTGGATTGAAAATATTTTTTCATGAAAACTACTACTTTTGGCAAAATACTTGTATTTCACCACTAAGATGCAAAACTAGGGGTTAGAAGTGTAACATGTTTGGGTCGAAGAATGAAGGGCAACCCACAATTTAAACATGTTGTCGTCCACGATCATAAATGGTTAGACCCGTTAAAACCATCAAATAAATGAATTAATACAACCATAATATACTCCATGCACTAAATATGATTTATACACGACACAAACCCAACGTGATACAAAATCAACCATACACAATTATAGATGTGTGAGGTATATGTCAAGCAAATTTTGACAATACACGACTAAGATCCGACACAATCCTGAAGTGACCTATGGCTTAGCCTTATTCAAGACCATGGTATAGACAGCCGAAAATTTGCAGCCAAAACAAGCATAATGTGGCATGATGTCTCCACAAACTATCATAGCTTATCCTTCACCATTATAGCATCCTCAGCCATTTCAGGAAGAGATGCCAGTATTACACAACAGCAAAGGACGACAAAAAAGCCGCTCCCCCTAATATAATTATAAATACAATAAGCGTCGACTTGTTTCATGTTTTCACATTACGAAATCAATCAATCATCTCATAAATCAAGTTCGGATTGAATGACTCTCTAAGTTAGTATTACCATATATTTCAGAATACATACTGCCTTCTCTCCTTTCTAAGCTGAGATAAATCTGGATTTCCATCTGACTGTTAAATAGAAACCCAAGTTGAATGTCGAGACCTCCTCGTAGTTCCACGCTTTTGGCTAAGAAAATGTCTAATATATACACTGCTAGCTACGACCAGAGCTTCAATATGCCTTCATATCTCCATTTTCAGCTGGTTTGGGAGCAAAAGAGCTGAGTGCCATCACAACAATCTGAAATTAAACTTACTGTTCCAAAATGCTTTCTTATAAGAGAAGAGTTCGCAATTGGCAGTTTGTGCTTCTTATTTTCATTTTGTTATTGTATTCGTGGTTGTTTTCCTTTTCTAGGCCGGGTGGGGGCAGGGGGAGAGCAATGCCAATGAACAATGCTAACGTAAATGAAATTATAATGGAAAGCATTTGGGAGAACGGAGAAAAGGGTAAATTCATTCCATTTCACTGTTTTGCTTTCCTCTTTTTTCTTGGATCTTTGTAGTTGTAGGTGTTTGATATTAGCGTGAATTCACTTCACTTCACTGTTTTTCCCTCTTTAGAAGACCGTTGGAGAAAGGAGAAAACAGTAAATTTACTTCATTTCACCAATTTTTCTTTCTTCATTTTTGGGTCATTGTAGTTGCATTGGATTAATATTAGGGTAAATATGGTTCATCTCACTGTTTGGCCGGTCTTCACAAAATAAGGATTTCAATTTTATGCTCTCTTGAAACTCTGCCTAATGTTAAGTATCAAGATGCACTGCTTGGAAATATGAATGTGGCAGATTATGTCAAATGTCTAGCGTGCACCAATATTCTAGAATCTAAACCAACTCATTAATATCGAAAGGGATAAATGAACACATTGAACAGTGAGCTTAGTAGTATCAAAACGAGATTTACCCGAATTTGCAGAAGAGTCATAACTTAGAAGTGAGTTCTCAGCAGTGAAGTTGTTGTTGTCTTCTTCCCTAACCCACACTGGCTGCTGTAGTCCATCAAAATGCCATAGTTGTTGATACTGTTGTCTGTTTCCATTTATTTGTCCTTCTTGCCACATTGACGGCATGACCACCAGCGGCGAGTTACTGTCCATTACAGATCCACCCTGCAAAATTTGTACAAATGAACATTTAATATTGATGACGAAAATGAATTCAATGGTCCCCCAGCCGTTAATATATGGACATGAAATTAATGACTTTGCATGCTGTCTTAACTTTTCTACTAAACTGCATCTCTTTTATTTTGTATGTGTACCACTAAATCGCAATCACCAGATATCAACCATGACTGGGAAAATTCAAAGGCACACTTGGTGCAGCTTTTGAGAAGGATTTACTGTCTTGACAAAAATAAAATGGTGTGCATCGTGCTCCATTACCAACTGCACAGAATTGCCAGTCCCATTGCACTAGAGGATTATTTTGACTCTCAGACACGGTATCAAAACAAGAAACCTTTCCCTGATAGTCTATACATTCTTACAAACTAGAAGAATTGCACATAGGGTCGAAAATGATTTCTGCGATGCCCATCCTTTCATGTTGTGACCTTTAATAGGGGCCCACTATTCTTGGAGTCCCACAAAAATAACTGATGTAATCCATAAGATGCTCAGGAAGGGGCAAATTCAAAGATGTGAAAAATTGTGAAATTTGGCTTACCGTGAAGAAAAAGACTTATATGGAACCTTGCATAGCTTTATTTGAGTCCTATTTTTAATTATCTTTAAGTTTGTTTGCTAGTATTTAGTAATTTATGTGTAATTTTCAGAATTTAACCCTAGGAGTGATTCCTAGTCAAAGTTAGTATTCATGTACTGTTCATAGTACCATTACTGTTCACAGCTCCTAAACAACCCCTATTTTTATTTCACAAAATTGTCCTATATCAATAACCTTATGGCAAATAAAAAAAATCATTGTGACCGTTGCCGTTTGACCAATGACTAAGCATCCAAATCTTATCCCAAATTATGCATCCCAAATCAGAGTAGATGGTTGGATTAGTAGGTCCTGCTAACTTTCTCTAATGAGATCACTATCTAACCATCTATATTGATTTGGGACG